GCTGGCTGTGGGAGGAGCAGCCCCTGTGGCCAGGATGAATCTGAAACAACAGCACCAAGGTGATTGCATCCTGGTTCCACAGGAAATTGCCATAAAAAATTTACAGCAAAACCTGTGTGAGCCAGAACTCAACGGCACCGCCCTTGTATTTCCAGGTCCTGCAAGTTTTCCACCTTTGACAGGATGCACTCTCACCACTTTGCTGTTGCTCGTTTTAGTGGAAAATATTTGCATTTTCTTTCTCTGACAGGTTTCTGCCTTACACAGTTTCTAGCTTTCATGGGCTTTACTATTTAGCAAACTCCTGCCCATTGAGCAGCTACTGAATCAAATATGTTTCCTGCTAAGTGTTATGGGTTTTGTTCGTGTTTTATGTATGCCATGCTTTCCACAAAATCTTTGAGAATCCTAGAAACTGCCTCCGTACAAATAAATGATTCCTTCAGTTAGTCCAAGGGATGTGTGGACCATGGGAACCTCAGCGCACATGCCCTGAGACCAGCAGAGCTAGATGGTGCCTGGCTATTCCTGTCAAAGCGATCTGTGTAGAAAGTCCTGGATAGAGTGGAAAAAACTGTGCAACAAAACTCGAATCATAAAAAAGAGCAGGCTTACTGGTCTGATTTGTTGTTGTTGTATGCTGTCAAGTCGGACCTGACTCACAGCGACCCCTCCTTGGGTTTCCGAGGCAGTATCACTACGGAAGTAGGTTGCCCCATCTTCCTTCCAAGGAGCGGCTGGTGGGTTTGAACCACCCGGCCTTCTGACAGAGACTCTGGTAAAACCTCCAAGACTATGGCCCCTAGTCACTCTTTGGCCCATTATTGCACCCACTTCCATGGCTTTCAGCCAAACAATAGACTAACACATGAGGTGAACATTTACACCAGGCAGGTACACTTCTAAGGAGTTCTAGTGGCCTGCTAGACAAGGCATTTGGCTGCTAATGAGAAGGTCTGTGGTTCGAACCCACCAAACACTCCGCAGAAGGAAGATGAGGCGATCCACTTCTGTAAATATGTACAGCCTCAAAAAACCAACGGGGGCTGCTCTGAGTCTAAATTGACTCAAAAGCAGTGAGTTTGGGTTTTTTTGCGTTTTTTAGGTGCACTCCCTGGAACAATCAAGTATGTGGGGATGACAGTGTTTGCACAGGGAGACGGCTCAGGGCAGGGATGCGTAGCAAAGAAGGACACAGACATAGGTAACCACAGGGAGCAAGGGGAGGAGAGCTGTTACATTATAGGGATTGCAGTCAATGTCGTGAAACAAGATGTGTATGAACTGCTGTATGGAAAATGAATTTGCTCTGTGAACTTTCACCCAGATCACAATAAAAAATAAAATAAGTAAAATGATTCCT